TTGGGTTTCCGAGGCAGTATCACTACGGAAGTAGATTGCCCAACCTTCCTTCTGAGGAGTGGCTGGTGGGTTTGAACTGCCAGCCTTCTGGTTAGCAGTTAAGTGCCTTAGGCACTATGCTACCAGAGCTCCCACTGGTGGTGGCAGACACAGACAAATAACAAATGATTGCAAGGCAAAAGAGGAGATTCTGTCAAAGCCTGGAAGGAGGACTTACTTTGGATGAAGGAACAGAGAAGGATTTCTGAAAAAGAATTTGCCCCCAAGCTGGATTTTGTACAGTGAAGTAGCCAAGCAGAAGGTGGAATGGCAGAGTGGAAAAGTACTCCAAGTAGACCAAAAACCAAACCAAACTCACTGACGTCAAGTAGAATCCAACACATAGCGACCCCTCCTTGGGTTTCCGAGAGTAACACTATGGAAGTAGATTGTCCAATCTTTCTTCCAAGGAAGTAGCAAAAGTAAAGGCAAAGAATAGTGGTGATAGTGTAAGTAATTAACGTCACTGGATTGTACACTTAAAAACTATCACAGTGGCAAACTGTTGTATATATTTGCCCCAGTAAAATTTAAAATAAGTGAATAAAGGCAAGGAGGTGTGAAACAGCTTGATGAATGCTGAGAGCCAGATGCAGATCAGAATGGCTGGAGAGAAGTGGTTAGTAAAAAGTGATCAGACCTCGTAGATCTTTTTTGCAGTGATGGGGATGTTCTAAAATTGGATTGTGGTGATAGGTACACAACTGGAAATTTACAAAAGTCAGTGAATTATACACTTAAATTAGGTGAATTTTATGGTCATGAATTATTCCTCAATAAAACTTTTTAAAAGTGGTCAGAAATTAAGAGCTGAGATTCATTAGGGCAAACTTAATTAAAACTAAGATAGTGGACTTTATTTTATGGGAGAAAGGAAGTCACTGAAGAACTTTAGTTAAGGGACTAACACAATCCCTTTAGGAGTCCTTAGGACCTCCTTCTTATGCTTTATTTAAAGATTAGAATTACCAGGGCAGGAAGTGAGATGTTGGAATAGTCTCTAAGCCTCTCGATTTGTAGAGTGATTTTTAGGTAGATAGTTGGGAGACTGCATTTAAAAAAAACATTGAATTTAGCACACAAAGTTGTCTAGGTAGACTCTGAAAATAAGAGAATGGGTTACAAGCATGGGGAACTCCCAGTCAGCTTCTCACCACCCCTGCAACAGCCCCATAATTTTCCTCTCATATAAGCCTCAGGGCCTGCATTTGGGTCAACGATAGAGAAGTTACTACATAATTTTGAAAATTAGTTTTCTTTAAGAAGAGATCTCCTCTAAAGAGGATCAAAGCTGTATTTCAGAGCCTGACCATAGCCAAAATTTGAGGACTGTGGAGTAGATTGAATAAATATTTCTCTGAATGCCTTCAATTAGCCTGGCATTGTGCTGGGCCCTGAGGGTTTCATAGAAGAAAAGCCAGACATGCTCCCTGCCTTCAGAGGGAACAGATAGACACACATACAGAGAACTGACAATAGCATGTGTTAAGATTGAGGCAACCTCTATAAAGAAGAAATTTTAAAAGTATTATGGGAACTCTCATGAAAGATATGGTACAGAAGCAGGCAAGGTTTCACAGAAGCGATGACATTGGAGCTGGACCGAAAGGATTTTGATGGACAGAGAAGAGCTTTAGGAAGGGCCCTCCAGTTTTAGGAAATGACATAAGCAAAGGTATAGGGTTTTCAAAGTCCATGGTATGTTTGGTAAAGGTGAGTTTCCCATGTATGGTGGCTAGAGCATAGAGTTTATGACAGGGAAGTGATAGGGCTTAACAGGCCAGTTTGTGAATGACCTTGAAGTCCATGTTGAGGCACTGAGAACTTGATTCTACAATACCTTGGGAGTTAGTGTTATAAAATCAAATAGTGAATCTTTTGATGCCCTGAAGAACTAAGCAGAGAGGGAAACTTCTTGCAGATTGGATTCTAAACAGATACTAGGAAAGCTGTGGTCATTGTGGGCCTAAGATAAAACATTTTCCTGAATCCTCTTACTCTTTGGGATCTCTAGGCATCTGGTTGAGTTGTGGAGAACACTGGAGGTAAAGCTGCCCAACACGACCTGGATTCTGTGGAGACTCCTGAGGAAGTTGCAGAAATGCCATAATGTGCCCACTCAGGAGAAGATGGCCTATGTGGCTGTTGCTGTAAGCCCTGCCCCTCCAGCTTCACCCCACCGTGCTCACCTTCTGGATAAGTGGCCCAGTGCCCATCTGGAGAGTGTCCCTCTGGAAATGTGCATCTCTCATTGACAGAGACATCTACAGTGTCTCTACCAAGGGAGTGACATGGATGGGGCTGGGGAGAGGTGAAGGAATCCGTATGGTTTCATATGATTTATACATTCCTTCCCCATCCTTTAAAAGGTATATACCACCATAGTTAAAAAGTAATACAAATTTGTGGAAAAAAAGTCAAATGATGCAGATGAATATAAAAGAGAAAGCTAAGGTCCCCTAGAACAGGGGTTGGCACACGTTATCTGTAAAAGGCCAGGTGGTATACATTTTAGGCTTCACTGGCTACATACTGTCTCTATAACATATTCTTTGGATTTTTTTTTTAAATAATCCTTTAAAAATGTAAAAACCCTTCTTAGTTCATGGCTGTACTGTTTTCCTTGAGATGAACTTTCCAGGAGTGTTTATACATATATAAACCTTTTGTGTAAATATTTGGTTTACTTTTTAGTTTAAATTATTTTCTCTCCTTCAGGTTTATGATTTGACTTTCTCTAGTCTATGTTATTATCATACTTTTATTTTTCAAGCTTCCAAAAGTTTTCAGCATCTCTAATTGGCTATTGTCTTCTTTCCTATTCTCTCTGTTCTCGTGGATTCATACCTTTTTAAAAATCTCTTTCTTGTTATTTTAGTGCAGTTTTAGGAGTTAGGACAGATCACTGTATTTTATCATGTTAGTCTATAAAATTTTATGTATATTAATAAGACCACACTACATGTACTGTTTGGTGACCTACTTTTTTTCACTTAATAGTATATAAACTATTCTCCGTATCAATAACAGAGATCTGTGTTATCTTCTTCATGGCTGCACAGGAAGTTATTTTTCATTACTTTTTTTTTATTTTAATAGGTAATACTTACATTGTACAGAACCATTATTTAGTTCTCAAGTTTCCTGTTGGTGAAAATGTAGACCCATTTAAATTTTCAGCCATTAAAACAATACTATAGCAAGCTTAACCATGCATACATACATTTTGTTATACATAGCCAATTATTTTCTTAGGATAAAGTCCATAGAAAGAGAATTTTGAGGTCAAAGTGTGCGCTAACTTACAATTTTGATACATGTTCCCATCTTGTCCTCGTGAACGTCGCCCTGCCTCCAGGGCTGTATCAGAATGCCCATTTCCCCACACTCATTACACTTAAGTTAGCAGTCTTTTAATTGATGTAATTAATTATAGTTTTATTATCAGTGAAGTTGAGTAAGTATGTATGTTTTTAATTGGCCATTTGTAGTCTCTTTTTTTAAAAAAATTTCTTGTTTTCAAGATGAAAGCTTACACAGGAAATTAGATTCCCATTCAACAATTCATACACAAATTGTTCTGTAACATTGGTTCCAGTCCCTGAAATGTGTCAGCATTCTCATCCTTTCCACCTCTCCTACCCCATCCATCCAGTTTCCCTGCCCTTCCTTGCCTTCTCTACTTTGTTTTTGAGTAAATGTTGACCATTTGATCTTTTAGAGTTGATTGTTTAAAGGAACACATTCCTCACAGGTGTTGTTTATTTTATAGGCCCATCTATTATTTGGCTAAAAAGTGACCTCTCAGAGTGGCTTCAGTCCCATGTTAAAAGAGTATCTTAGGGTAATAGTCTCAGGGGTTCCTCTAGTCTCTATCAGTCCATTAAGCCTGGTCTTTTTTATGAATTTGAGCTTTGTTTTACGTTTTTCTTCCATTCTAGCCAGGACCTTCTTTTGTGTGCCTGGTCAGAAGGGCAGTCAGTAGTGGTAGCTGGGTACTATCTAGTTCTTAAGGTCTCAGACTAGAAGAGGCTGGGTTTATGTAGGTCATTAGTCCTGTGGACTAATTTCTTCTTTGAGTCTTTGATTTTCTTCACTTTCCTTTGCTCCAGACAGAAAGAAACCAATAGTTGTGTCTTAGATGGCCACTCACAAGCTTTTAAGACCCCAGACACTACTCATCAAAAGAGGATGTGGAACATTATCTTTATGAACTAATTTATGCCGGTTGACCTCGTTGTTCCATGAGACTATGGCCTCGAGCCTTCAAACCCAGTAAATAAATCCCACGAGGTGTTTGGATATGTCTGAGAATTATCCATAACTGTGCCCTCTACATGCTTTATTGCATATTTAAACACATATGTAGCACATACAAACATGTATATACATATGCCCACAAATACACTTATATATGCATGCACATGTACATTTGTGGGCATATGTATATCCGACTCCACGGCAGTGCATTTGGTATTTGGTTTGGTATTCCCATAGGCCTTCCCACCCTGTATAGCATACATATGTACCTGTGTAACCACTCATATTTTTTGCTTGTTATTAATGTTGTTGTGAAATTATATGTGAACCATACTTAACTGTTCTGACTTACATACAAATTCAGCTTAAAGACAGTGCTTGAACAATTTCTCTTAGAAAGATCAGCACGAGGCCGGTCCCCATGAGGCGGAGGTCACAGATGTCCCAAATGTCCAAACTACCATGCCACTCCATCATTTCAGACATTAATTCCTCCTCCTCCTCCCAGTAATTTCCCCAGTCTTAGGGTTCTGTATTTCGCTGTAACGCCTCACAGAACTCACAGACACCCAAGGGTTCATCTCACGTAGTAGTGGTGGAGGCTGGCAGGCTGGCGAGTCCCGGGTCCGTGAGTAGGTCTGGCGGATCCTCCCAACTCTCAGGGTTTGATGAACCTCGATCAACAGATCAGATGACGGCTGCTGTCCCAAATCCAGGGACATCCATGATGAGGATGATCCAAGACACAAAGCCGGAGCAAGAGGAGAGCGAATCTTCCCAGGAGATTCCTAGGTATACCTTCAGGGAAGCTAAGGGTGGTGATTTGAATTATACCCTCCAGCAAGGCAGGACTCAAGATACATTCCACCTGCGTTGCCCCAACAGAATTAACCTAAATCCCATCACAGAGTCGATTGCCAGTCATTATAGGGAATGACTACTACCAGCTGCCCAGCCAAGTTGATACCTGACCTTAACTACCACACTACCCCAAATAGACATGGATAATGACATTTACAAAACATCACAGAATGGAGGACAATGGCTAGAAGGGCCACATCAAGCAATTCACTGCAGACAGATTTAGGAGTGGAACACATGCATAATCTGGGGACAGTATGTATTGCATTGATAGATATAATGCAAAATTTTTCCCAGTTGTTTGTCATTTAACTTTGTTTATCATAATCCTTGCCTTGTCATTTGCATGTAGTTGGATCTGTTAATATTTTCTTTATGACTTCTGGATTTCAGGTCTCCCCTTACTCTGGGGTTAACTTTTAGTGACAACTTTACTGTTACTCTTTTCCACCTCATTTTCATGTCTTTACACTAATTACCACTACTGTTCTGTCTATGGGATAGTAGAACCAGAAAGCATGTTCTGTCACAGACAGAGGTAAAGCAAAAGTAAGGATTAGGGCTAGCAGATATTCAGTTCTGCTATGTGTCTTTTCTACACAGGCAACAGATGCCCTTTATGAGGTGTTTATGGGAAACAGGCTCCGAGCAGCTACGTTCCGACTCTTTCCTCAGCTTCTCATGACACTGCTCGTCCAGATTCACCACAGCATTGGCCTCACCATGTCTGATGTCACCATCCCACGCGGCCTGTATGCAGACCAAGAAGTACCGTCAGAGGTCACCCCTTTGTGGTACTGCCCATTGTGATATCATTTATTTAACTAAACACTTATTAAGCACTGGGCACAATGGCAGACACAAGGATAGCCAAGATATGATCCCAGCCTTGGGAGAGCTTACAGCCTTCTACTCTCATGAAACATTAAGGTGAAATGCCTGGGATCATTCTAGGATCTCATCAGTTGACTTTGGTTTTTTTGATACCCAGGCAAATTTGTCCATCTAGGTCTAGAATCTGCAAATCATGCCATTGTTGTTGTTGTTATGTGCCGTTGAGTTGGACCCAACTCATAGCGACCCCTCCTTGGGTTTCCAAGGCAGTATCACTACAGAAGTAGATTGCCCAATCTTCTTTCCGAGGAGTGGCTGGTGGGTTTAAACCACCAGCCTTCTGGTTAGGAGTCAAATGCCTTAGGCATTACACCACCAGAGCTCCTGCAAATCATGCCAGTCCTTTTAAAATCAAGTAGGGACAGAGACAAGCAAGATAGCTTCAAACCCACCCTGAAAACTGCTGTCCACAGCACAATGATTCCTTGTGTTTGCTTTCTACATGGGGAGGTATTTCCAGTCCCTCATAAGGATCTCAGTAAAAATTTCTTAGTGTCATTGTGTCATGTTGATTTCTTTCAGAGGGGAAGTACTTTAATGTGGAATATTTAAAAACATCAGACTAGGAGTCAGGAGACCTGAGTTCTAGTTTCTGTTCATATAACTAGCTATGTACCCTGGGCAAATCTTTCTTCTGTGTCTCAGTTTTATTTTCTATAAACAAAGTTGTCAGGTCAGGTGATCTCCAAGGACCTTTTAGCTGTAAGATTCTCTAGTGGTGCTATGTCCAAGCTACCAGTTCAATAAGTAGCTTGAAAAAGTATTGGGGAGAGGTGCAAATTATATCTCAATAAAGCTTTTCAAAAAATACAAACCAGTGGATATAGTTTATTATCCAAGATCATTTGTTTTATCATAGATTTCTTTCCAGATTGCTGGAGAAACAAAATCTAGTTAGATTTCTTTATGCTATACATTTATCTGAAGGACCTTTCAGGTTATTAGAGCACTGAGAATCTTTTAAGAAATCTAGAAAGGAGAGAATTACAGTCAAGCAGCTATCATACATAACCCTTCTCTGTGAGAGCAGGGTGATTGTATACTAGTAAGTTGGAGGAACCTGATCTATTCACCCATACTGTTTTGTTTGATTTAGTTTCGCCATACAGGCTGTAAAGACCCTCCTTCTCAGAACATTATGCTGGCAGGAATTCAGCATCATGGAAAAGAATAAAGGATGGACTCTTCTGGAAGGAAAAGATTGCCACCTTCAGGGAGTATCTCTCCTTGCCAAGTAAGGCTTGCTTGACATACATTTATGCGCCGGCTCTAAGTTGGCATTGTTTTCATTTTTTTTTTCCCCCTTGCAGTCATTACCTCCTCATAACAGGGTGGGCAGATACCCATAAGCCCAGGCAAATTTTTTTAGAGAACCTGTCCCTGCAATGCTTTCCTGTGCACCTGAAGCTGAGCACAAGGTTTAGGGGCCCCTGGCCATGGGCAATGCTGTCCGATGGCAACATCACTGAGAGTCATTTTGTTGGTGTTCTGTTTTGCAGTGCTTTGCTGAAAAGAAATCACCTCTTTGCACAGAAGGTCATGTACTTGTTAGTCCCTCTTCTTAACCGAGGAAACGATAAGCATAAAATCACATCTGCGGGCTTTTTTGTGGAGGTAAGACTCATTCTTTAGAAGTTGGATTCTGGAAGCCTGTATAGGAGCAACACTTGTCTTACTAGACTATGTCTAATTCATTGGCAAGCTGGGGTCCATTTCAGGTGTATGAAAGAATGTTTTTCAGATTTCAGCCTGTTGAAATTCTTCTTTCCATGTATTTACTCATAACTCAGCATTCCTTGCATACCTACAGTGTAACCATCAATCTGTAGTAAAAATGCTGTATAGTAGACATTTCCAAGGAAGATACATATTTTAGAGTTGGTGGGAAGGTGGTTCACCTCATGATAAGGAGCTTAAAATCACATCTTTGGCTGATTTCTGGGTTCTTTCAGCTTCTCCAGAGTCCAGTGGCTAGGAGACTGCCCAGCATATATTCTGTTGCCCGCTTGAAAGACTGGCTACATCATGAGAATAATCTCTTCAAAGTTCTTGGCCTGAGGGGACTATACTGTCTCCTCAGACACCAGGAGATGGTAAGAGGGGTCTCTCGAACCACTGATTCTGAAGCCACAAATAAAACATACCCCAAAAAGATACCCAAGAAACTAGAAGCAGCTCTTACCCCTGAGGAGGAAAATCGGGTAGCTTGGGCACAGGAGTGGCTTAGGAGAAGGTCTTTTTCTCTGTACGTCCTTTAGAACCATTCGAATCTTATACTTAGAAAACAGACTATTAAAAAATTAATGGAATCAAAATAAATACAGCCCAAGTCACATGTATCCACATGAAACCTGCAGTTTGTGTTGTCATTATTATCACAACCTGGACAGCATTCAGCTGTCCCTTTAGGCCTTGTACCATTTTGCCCTAGGGTGGATTGGATAGGCATTGTCTTCTCCCAAGAAGCCTATCATCTAAGACAAAGATCACTGATATTCCCACTGGAACGGACCTCATCTTCCTCAGGCCTGGCTAGGAACTAAGACTTGGTACAAAGAGAAGAATTCAATTGAGTTCAATTGGGTTCTATTTCTTTCATCTAAAAATAGATGTATGAAGCAAAAATGCCAAATTAATTCTGTTTGATTGGATACATGCATATTTGTCTCTTCATTCTATGTACTTTTTTTTACATCTATGTTTTAAGCTTTAAAACTCTGAGGCTGCTTCATTTGGGGGCATCTCAGAAGAGCAGAATCTTAATTGAGAACAAGTAGGACCATTAAGGGTCCTCAGTCAAATTCTGCTTAAATTCCTGCCAAAAGATTTT